GTGTGTGAGAGATAAAGGAGACATAGTTTAGGGCAAGGTTCAGATCCATTGTTCATAGGGTCACTATGAGTCATAGTCAACAAGACCACACTTAAAAGCAAGAACAACATCAGGAATGCTAGGAAACATTTTGACGCCTTAGGTTTGGAAATGTGTGTGTATGCTGTGTGAATATACCGTTCAGGATCAATCATTTAAAATCCTCACCAAAAATATTTCTAGTCAAGAAAGTTATGTGATTTAAAAAAATAAATTACTACTAATAAAAAATTAAATTGTGTAATCTCATGCATATATATTACATTTTATTTTATATTTCTGAGCATGTATTAAATATAAATGAAACAAGAGCTTGATTTTCTTTCCCACATAATGTATTCCTTAAACATGCATCAGATTTGCACTTATTTTTCCATGGACTTGGAAGGTTTAGAACAGGAAAATATTGTTAGCAGGGTTGTATTATCCAGGTCGTTGATTTGGGCTCAATCACCACCATATGCTTGCATTCGGACCTGTTGTTTTAGAGGATTACATCACTGACAGCCTTGCTATTCTTTCAAAGTGGTACAGCTGAAAAAAATTTCATATATCCCTTCCACGCAAAAAACTGAAGCTTCCTTTTTGTTGGTTATCTTGTGTGTTGCTTTACACTTTTGCTAGAAACAAAGAGCTAACTGCTGCATTGCAGGGGTCCCTATGTTTGTTGGCATTTGTTTCCAAAGCACAGCTAAATTGCATTGCTGAATGTCGGCACAACTTTGTCCTAATAATTATTGGATCTTTTTTCCTTCCATTCCCAGAACCAAGCTTTACAATAATAAAAAGGATTTTTATGTAGAGGCCAGCATAAGAAATTTAGTGTTTGTATATGGGTACAAGTCCTTCAACTTCTCTTTGGATTGCAATGCAGCCTTGCAGGAATCTACATGACTGTTTCCTGCCTCTTCTAAAGTTTGGAATTTTTGCTGAGGAACACAGCAGTCAGAGACCACCTTCCCCCAGCAGGTAACTGCACTCTGTCTGTCTAGTGTAGGGTTGAGGGAGCAGTGCCCTACCTCTATCCAGCCGCCCTTTGGGTTCTCACTAATAGCTTGGTGTATACCTCTTTAGCCTGTACCCACCTTTTCTAAAGTTTAGAATTGTCCTTGATGGTGCTGATGAGCACAGCAGCCAGAGACCCCAGAAGGCAGCTGTACTCTCTATGCTGTGTCTATATTTCAATTATTTGAACACCCAATGTCATTCCAGAAATAATTTTGGAGACATGGCATTACATGAAATGAAATAATAAATTTTGAATGAATTAAAGAATTGAGATTATAAAAAATACAACTAAATCAATATGTCACAATAGGAGAAATTCAAACTAAGTACTATTCTTGACTGGAGTGTTGATAATGATACAATCTGTAGTCAAACTCTTATCAAGGAATACTTTTTATTTTGGAACAGCAAGCAAGATTCTACTGAAGATTATCCAAAAACAACTGGAACAGCACATCAGCAGAGAACTGCCAGAAGTCCAGGCTGGGTTTAGAAGGGGTCGTGATACTAGGGATATTGTAGCTGATGTTAGATGG